CCCCCCCTTCCCAGTGTAATCGCCAAAAGAAGTACCTTTTTTGGAAGGCAACATTTTGATGTTAGAGTTAGTCTATAACAAGGTAAAAGATGTTGAAGAAAGTCATGTAAAAGTAAGACTGAGAAACATAAAAGGGACACCTTTTTTGTGTGTTTACTTACTTTCCTATCAACCAATAGCACAGTCTATACCACTGGTTCCCTCCCCACCCCAACACATACCTATGCTGTTATAAGAATCTGAGTAGGCCTGCGATAAGACTTTTTACACAATCCTTTCCAGAAGTACACTTCCTATAGTATGACTACTAGGGTTCTGAGTGGCAGAAAATTTAATATAATAAGAAAGTTTCATTCCAAGATCTCAGGGATGGTGTCTAGTCAGGGGAACAGTGATGTCTGATGGCAGGCAGAATATTGATAGGGATTGTTGAGGAGAAAGCCTAGACAGAAAGCTAGAAATTTATCCCTAAGGTGGACAGACCAAAAAAAAAAAAAAAAAAAGTGGGTAGTGGATAGACATACAGACATTCAGGGACCTACCTGAGTATAAGAAGCAGGGGGCCAGGATCTGCCATAAATATGGGTCAAATATTTGCTTCAAGTGTGAGTAGAGGATGAAGGTCAAGAAAATCTGACCCATTTGAAAGATAGGAAGTGTTACCATAAGGTCAGTATGGCTAACCCAGCAGAAGAATGAATTCCTGTAAAGGACAATTTAGTCCAACAATGTGCATGATTCTAGGTGAGTGCTAATTTAAGAATGAGTGCCAAGTTAACCAGCATTACTATAGCAAAGTATTGTTGCATTTCTAATAAAAGATACCATATTTCATCTTCATTTATGTGTCTTTGAGGGTTCAATAGCCCTGACTTTAGAGGCAGCAGTTTAGGGGGTAGAACGACACGTCTTTGAATAACCCTCTAATAGTATGAATGTACCCTAACTCATTCAATCATCTCCCTCTTGATAGTCATTGCCAGTGAGGACACACTATAAGCAGTGTTTCAAAAAAAATAATACCATGTTTATTTCTACAGGAGAATCCCAAAGTTGAGAAAATTTGATCTGAGTTATTTTCCAACAGAGATACAGCAATATACACACTCCCATGGATGAGTACACATTTATCACTACAACCTCCCAGTATTGGATGTTATGAATTGTTGTCCTTTTTGCTAAACCAACAAAGGAAAATTGGTTTCTGGTTGTTTGATTTATATTCCCAAAAGTGAGGTAGTGAGGTTGAATAATTTTTTGTGAGTCTTGCCCTCCTTCATTTTCTTTACAATGAATTACTTTGTATTGTATTTCTTTTGCCCATTTTTATTGCTTTTTAAAGAACTACAATTATAAAAAGTTTTTACATTTTAGTTATTAATCTAGTGTCTTGTTTTATAAATATTTTCTCACAATCTCTCATGTATCTTTTGATGTGTTATGGCGATTTTTGCCATACAAATATTTTAAACTTTAACATAATCATATGTATTCATCTTTTATTTTATGACTTCTGAGATTCCTGCCTTGTTAAGAAGTCTTTTCTACCCTATAGTCACAGGTTTATTTTTTCTACTTTTTCTCCCTATATACTTTTTGTTTTATTTCTTAATTTTTCAATTTTTACTCCTTCTAGAATTTAATTTGGTATATGGTAAAAGATAGAGATCTACCTTTGTATCTTCCATATAAAAAATCAATTATTGCTGGTTCTTATTAATTTATGAATGAAACCTTCCTTTTCCTGAAACTGAATACCACCTTTATATTAATATTTCTTATATAATTAAATTTTTCTGAATTTTCTATGTATTTGTCTTTTTTTGCTAATACTGTACTTTTTGTCTGACCTTTTTTGGGAGGGGCTATTATTCTTTGTGGTAGCTTTGTGTTAAGTTTTACTATCTAGTAATACAAATTGTCTTCTCCTAACCTCTCTTAATTTTCTTTTTATAAAATGTCTTAACAATTCTTATGTATTAATCTTCCCATATAAACATTGAAATCACTATGCTCTCCAATTAAGTTTTTTAAAATATCAGGTCCTATATCTTTCTGTAAAATTTATTTCTAGGCATTTTATTGGTTTTGCCACTCATGTTGGTCGTGGTAAGAACCTTTCAGAGTAGACTGTAGGACCTCTTCTGCTGAAGCAGTTTGTATTGGTTCTTACATGTCAGCTGATGATCATTGGTCCTGGGAGTGTTTTTGTCATGTTTTCTATTGCATATAAAGTGAACAGGAAGAGGAAAGCAGGGAAGAGAGATTATTACATTAGCTATGATTCCAATTTTATTGTGAATTCAGTTCTCAGTTCATATTACTAAGTGGTTTTCAGAAACTAAAATTCTTTGTCTTTTTTCTTCTTCAGTTTTTGCAGCTTTTATTAAGTGGAATACTTATATCATTATATTTCACTTAATTTAAAATTTTTTAGCCTCCTTGCCAAGTCTGATAGCCAGATTTGTAGATTTAAATATGTTCCTTAATATTTTCTTTAAAAGTGCTTAAGTATTTATTTACCCAGCCTTTTTTATTTAGTCAGTAGGTACTTATTGAAGATACTTTTTGTTTGTGAAATGCTATAGCATTACTTGAGTATTGATTGTACTCAAAATCACCCACACTCACTCCAGGGGGTAGGGGCAGGAGAGAAAAACTAGTGCCAATATGCTACTCAGTGAACATCAGCCCTAGGCAATTTATACAATTAAGCCTCTTTTCTTATAGAAAAAAAATATGTGAATGACTTTACAGGGCTTTCCACTGCTAATGAAAAATGAATCTCATTGGCCTAACTGATGGGCAGGCTACTGGGTGATGATGACATTGTAAATCTTTTAGTGGAACAAATTGAAGAATTCATTAAAGGTCCTAGGGAAGGACTGACAAAGAACTCAGGGGTGATGTGACTTTGTAAATATTTAAAAAAAATTTTTTTTGTACTTTGTAAGTATTTTAGTGGAAGAAATTGAAGAATTCATTACGAATCCTAGGGAAGGACTGACAAAGGAGAACTCAGGGAATAAACAAATTTAAAAAAACAAAAAACAAAAAAACCTTGTATAAAGAAAATCACATATATTGTATTCCATAATCTTTTGGGGAGATTTTCAAGAACAATTTGAGTATATTTAACTTTTGCTTGTAAGTCAACTTGAGAATTAAATTCCTGTGAAGGATGAAACTTAACGGTGGGAAGATGCCAAGAATTATGAAAGACATAGGAAATATATGATACAGGCTCTGCCTTCAAGGAACTTTCAAGGAGCAATATATTTAATGGGGACATATTAGAAATTTGGAACATAAAATAACATATTATGAATGACAAAATGTGTAGTCAAATCATTATATATAATTGTTGAATGAATTGATGAATGGACACAGACTATCCAAACATTATAAATTTATACATTTATTAAACCTGATTCTGTATCCAGAATATACTCAATTTTTAATAGTCTTCCTTTAAAAACAAAATTGCAAAAGTTAAATATACTTAGTATGTTTTAAAATTCAACTGGTTATGAAGTAAAAGGTAAAAATCCTCCATCTCTTCCCACCCTCTTTGCCAATCCCACTCCAAGAGATAACTGTTTCCAGTTTATGTGTCCATCCAGAAACTTTGTATACCACATACACACATACATACTTTAAAAGGACACTACAGTCTTCTAAAAGTGACTTTTTTCCATATTTCATTTCAGAACCCACTGATCCACTTCATTATTTTTAGTGCAGCACCAATATATTAGATCCTAAAGTATCATAACCTACATGTATTTAACTATTTCCTTTTTGGTAGATAGTTACTTTCTATTTTCCACTGTTAAAAACAGTACAGCAGTTAATAGTTCTACAAGCCCTATTATCTGTAAAATAGATGCCTAGAAATCTAGGGAATCTTTCAAATTGCATTGTTGACAGAGGTTAAAGATATGCTTTCAGGGCTTGGTTTGAACTGATCAGTTTAGGTAAATCAACGGTATTAAATGTGAGGATGATCTGGTGGCAACTTCAATCACAGACCTAAAGGTCAGAGATTAGTTTTCTCTCCCCCCACCCCACTCCTCCAAGAGCATGTCTAGTTCTTCCTTTCGTTTCTGAAAGCTCCCAGATGCATCTCTTCAGAAGCACAAGACGTTTTGGATCAGGGATGTATTTGTGGTCCTCAATAAAGGAAAATGACACTGTTGTCCCAAGAATCTCACAGGACAATAGGTAATGATCTTATAAAATGATCCCTTATCAGAGGGGGGGAAAAGATTTATTGCTTTCTAACGCTTACCCTCAAATGTTTGATTGGGGACCAAGAACTGTCCTACACTTACTATTTTCAATCTGTGGCTGGACTACGAGTATTTGATGCACTTGGCTTTTTGTCTTCCTCAAGCAGGGGACTGAACGAGGTGAAAAGTCTTGACGGAGCCGGAAGAGGACTGAGGAAACCCAGGAAAACCTGTGCTAAGTACGTGGAGGGTTTGGTTTTTTCCTTCTGGCTGCTGCTGTTGTTTACGCGAGGAAGAGGGGAGGGGTAAAAACCTTCCGGCTCCGTCAGTGCTTTTATTTTCCCCATTCTTTGAAGGTGACGAAAATTCATCACGTCTCTGTCCATTTCAGAAACAAGATCCTCTCAAGAGCAATCAGGCGGAAACAACGACCCCGCGCCCACAGTTCTTCTGAGACGCTACCTACGGAAAGAGAGCGTACAAAAGAAACTAATGCGAAGTGGACACCGCCAGGTTGGCGCGAAGCGGACGCGCGGGGCCGCTCCCCACAGCCAGCCCCTCCGCCAGTCCCGCCCTCTGGGGCGGGGCCGACCCCTCCTTCCGGGTTGCGGGCGGAAGTGGGTGAATTTGAATCCTCCCGGCCGTTGGATGGGGCAGCTCGCGGTTGGCGTGCAGTGGCGCAGCGCGAGAAGGGAAAAGTGACGTGGACGCTCTGGAACTTCTGCCCAGCGCGCCTTGGTGAGTAAATGGGGAATGGGAAGAAACGGAATATTCCAGGGAGAGAAGCGGGACCGTCGGATGGAACAGAGGGTCGAGAGGCCGGAGAGTGTAGCGGGGGCCTCAGAGTGGCTTTGGGGGTGTCTGGAGCTGGGGTCAGGCGTGGAGACTTTGGGAATTCGGGGCGCTGAGGAGCGTGTGCCGGGCCAGCGCTCCCGACGGTTGCGCACGCCGGCCGACCCTGAGATTGAGGATGCGGAGGCCCTGCCGGCCCCTCAAGATTAAGCCTTGTTTATACGCTGTCTCTGTGGTTTTCTCGTAATCGCAGTTTAGTATTTCCACCCATTTGGCTCGAATCCTGAAGCTTCAGTAGTGGTTAAATCTCATTGTGAAAGCGTTACCACAGGTAAAAGAATCTTCCTTTATTCAAGATGGAAAGTTGGAGGCAGGTTTAGAATGAAAAGGTGCTCTGTGTGGCTCCGAGTTCCCACAGAGAGGGATACCCGGAGCAGTCTTTATTATCTTGGACTGCAGAGAAGTGACAGTCTTTGAATTGCCTGGTGGGGATTTAAACTGAAAACTGAGTACCCTTTGTATTTAAAACCCGGATATTTTCCTTTCACGGTTGACATTTTTCATGTACCGCAAAAATCCGACACTCTTGCCCATTTTAAACTGACTGTAAAGTTAGAGCGGTGATTCACAGGGGTCTTATTTGCAAACAATAGGGAAAAGGTTTAGTTCCACTGCCCTGCCTTTTCACCCCCATCATTCATTGGTGAGTATTAGGGAGTCATTTTCGAATTATTCTATTACTTTAAGAATCAGATTTTCTTTAGTTTTTGTTGTTGTTTTGAGTTTTTTTTTATTTTTAATGAGGAACTATCTCAAATATCAAACTCCGTTTAACCCCATAGTAAAGCTATGCTTTTGGAATAGTTTAAATGTGTCACCTTAAATGTAAATATAAATGAGAACTTTAAATGTGTGCAAGCTTTATATCTTGCCATATTGAAAACTATCATACTAATTTGTGTTGCTTTATAGGAAAAGATATTTTAAGTTCCTTTTAAGGTTGTAACACCAGGATATTGTACCACATAAATGTAAATCTTTTAAACAATATTTTTAAATAATAATTATAATAGTTCAGAATAAAGACATTACTTCATCCACTGCTAGCTACTCCTACACCTCCATTTCTGCTATTGAGCTTTTGTTTTCAGTATTAGCCAGGAAGAATAGGTTTAACTAGTGTTTATGATCATTGAAATATAAATGTTTTTCATACAGTGTCTTTGTAACAAAGACATTGCATATACTTCCCTAAGGATTGCAGACTGACTTCCATTCTTCTTTCATATGTGCTACCAGCAAATGGTACATTCATTAAATTGATCTCTGCTTTGTAATCTGTTCCGTACCTGGATTCTTTTCATTGAGTTTTTGTTTTATCTACCTAAATCAAGGAGTTTCAAACTTTATTGTGTACAGATTACCTTGAAGGGTTTGTTAATTGTGAATTCTTGCACTTCAAATCTCAAAAAATTTTGAGTCAGTAGGTCTGGAGGAGGGAGTTAAACAGTCTGCATGTTTAAGAGAAAGGTTAGAAAATGCTACCGGGGTTTTAAAAACACTGACTTGATCTTTCTTAGAGAAGCATTATAATGTATTGATTAAAGAGATAGGGCTAGGGCCAGATTGCCTTGGTTTGAATCCCATCTCTACCACCTGATAGCTGAGTTACCCTGGGCAAAATGTTTAATCTCTTTGTCCTTCATTTCCCTCAACTGTATAATGGATAATACCTATTCTGTAGGATTGTCGAGAGAATTAAATGAGTTAGTGTGTATGTGTGTGTGTGTGTGTGTGTGTGTGTGTGTGTATGTACCTTAAAGTCGTGTGTGGCACATAGCAAGTGATATATGTATATATATGTTTCCTGTATTATTAATATATTAAGTATTGTACAAGTCATATAATATTCACAATATTGCCGAGATAACTATTATTTTCAGGTAAGATAACAGGCTAAGAGAGGTTCAGTAATTTGTTCCCACACAACTAATAAAATGTTTGAACTAAAGTCAGAAATAAGGTTTATGCATTTTTACAATTTTTTTTTTCTTTTTTTTTTTTTAGCATTCGGTTCCTGGATTCTAGGTTTATGCATTTTTTAAAAATATAATACTTTTTGCCTGTCTTTGCAGTCTCCTTCCAAATGTTGCTCCATAAAAATTTCTGATAGCTTTCCATTGTAATTAAAATTTCTTAGCTTTTCCTTTTTTTTTTTTTTTAAAGCCCTTCAGAGTCTGGTTCTAACCTTTGTTTCCAAGCATCATCTTCATGATATTCCATCACTTTTCCAATCTGCTAATGTTCCATCAATACTATTACAGTTCTCTAAATCTGTCTCTTATTTCTTATATGCGTATTTTGCCATTGACCTTTTTGTTTCCCCTCAAGATTTTACTCAAATGGATTTCAAGACTTCTCCAGACAGAGTGCTTCTTCTTCAGTACAATGTAGTTGTAAACATACTATAGCAGTAGACTGAGAGCCCTTATCCTCTTCTTTATGTCTGCAATGCTTAGTGCAGAACAGTGAGTATCCTTATACTCGGAAACTGTATATGTTCATTGAGTACTTACTTTAACATATTATATCTTATGTTATTAACTGAAAAAGTAACAAGAAAACTTTGCTTTTTTCTGAGATGATAGTATATAATTCTGTGTAGTTCAGTAGAGATTTTAGTGATAGCATATGGTTTATAAGCTTTACGTGGAAAAATAAGTATTAAAGGCCAGGCGCAGTGGCTCATGCCTGTAATCCTAGCACTCTGGGAGGCCGAGGCAGGCGGATTGCTCGAGGTCAGGAGTTCGAAACCAGCCTGAGCAAGAGTGAGACCCCGTCTCTACTATAAATAGAAACAAATTAATTGGCCAACTAACATATATATAGAAAAAATTAGCCGGGCATGGTGGCACATGCCTGTAGTCCCAGCTACTCGGGAGGCTGAGGCAGTAGGATTGCTTGAGCCCAGGAGTTTGAGGTTGCTGTGAGCTAGGCTTGACGCCATGGCACTCACTCTAGCTTGGGCAACAAAGCAAGACTCTGTCTCAAAAAAAAAAAAGTATTAAAATCATAGGCTCAGAAGACATTTCAAGTGGGGGAAAAAAATCAAGAGCAAAATTTGTTGATATTCATAGAATTCTAAATCCTTATCCATGTTTTCTCACTTAATCCTCACAGCCATTTTATTATTATTGCTATATTAAGATGAAGAAACTGAGGCATCAAAAGATTTTAAAACCTTAAAAATGTGTTTTTTTAATTTAATTTCCATTGGCACAGTTTTTTTAAATTATAAGAATGATATATGTTAGATATTAAAAAAATGACTTGACTCAGAATATTAGGGAATTAAAAAACAGAAAATGTTTCCTTTCCTTTTCAGTTTCATCAGTTAAGACTGTTACTGACCATCTCGACTACAGCTTTTCTTTAAAAACCTGCCCAGTGATGTAGGGACATCATTCTAAAGACCAGTGGGTAGAGTTGTTCTAAGGAGTATAGGATCCTAATATGCTCCCATCCCACACCCCTTCTCCAGCCAAAGTAGTACAGATTTTGAATCAGAGCTGGAAATCTGGTGTAGGCTAGACCATTCATGTGATTTCTTCTTGAATTTTGGAGTTGGGATACCACAAGACTATTGGAAACCAAGCTAGAAAGGTCTTTGTATGTGTTTCTCCTTTATTTTTTTCCCACTTTTTTAAAATTTAAAATATTTTTCTTTAGTTTTAAAAATAATTTTTGAATTATTTTTAAAAGTAATATATATTAGTGGAGAAAAAGGTACACAAATTCATGATGAAGAAAATTCAGGGAGGACAAAAGCATACAGTATAGTCTCCCTTTCACCCCTGACCCCAGATCTTCCAGTCCTTCCTGTCTCCTGGATGATTTTCCAACCAATGCAAGCTTTTAAAAAACTTCTTATTGAAGTGTAAATTTCATACCAAGCATATTTTAAGTACAAAATTAATCATGTTCATTGTTTAAAAATAAACTCAAAAATACCAAAATTTATGAAAAATCCAAAGCAAAAGCCCCCACCCCCACCCTAGTCTCTTTCACCGTAGCTAAACCACTATTAACAGTTAGGGTCCTAGAAATAGTATTGTCATTCCTCAGCTCAGAAACCTCAGATCTTGCCAGACTCCTCCTACTCTGCTCTCTCTCTTCATCTAATTACATCTCTCACTTTGCATATAAGACCTTCATAGGTAAATGTTACCATCCTCATGTCACAGCTGAGGAATTTGAGGCTCAGAGGGAAGTGGGTTGCTCAAGGACACAAGGCAGAGCCTGGAGTTCAAACCCAGGTGAGTGTGTCTGATTCAAGTATTCTTTTAGCCATGTTCCTCTCTGCCTCATTCCTGTCCAGAATCTTAGTGTTTAATTACTGTGTCACATGAGATAGCAGACAAATTCTCCTGTTCTAATTAAGAGCTGTTTTTTTAGACAAGAGAGGACCTGGTCCTGTGGGAGCTGTGACTGAACATCTCTTATTGCCCAAACCCTGAACTTGGAAAGGTGAAGAGATGCCATCTACTTCAAGAAGTATACAACTTGAATGGGCTGGTTACTTAGAGCAGACTTGGTCAGTGGAAAGGGGCTAGGATGAATAAGACCTGCCCTCTGAGGCAGGGTCAGGACCAGAGGAAGATATCCAGTTGATGAAAGGGATTATATTATTATCTGATTATCCAGTCCAAGGAGAGTCATACAGTCCAACCAAATGACAGAATCAGCAAAAATAGGCACCAGAAGAAATTCCCCAAACATCTCATGCTTTATTTAGCATACCACTATATCTTTGGACATTCTTTGCATGGAGTGCTTTCCTCCTTGTCTGCTCAGCATATTTGTTCACAATTAAGTTACAGTGTCACCACCTATGTGAGGCCAGCCACTCCCTTTTTATAGAATTTGCCATACTGTACGTGTGTGAAATATATGTTTACTTGCCCACCTTCCATGTAAGTCTGTGTACTAATACTCTCCAATTTTAAAGCACAGTTTTGCTGTATACAGAATTCTTGGCTAATGGGTTTTTTTCTTTCAGCACCTTAAATATGTCATCCCCCTGCCTTCTGTTGGAACTCAATGGTTTCTGATGAGAAATTGGCTATTAATTTTATTGGGGATTTCTTGTATGTGATTAGTTGCTTCTCCCTTGCTGCTTTCAAGATTCTCTCTTTACTTTTGCTTTTGTCCATTTGACTATACTGCGTCTTAATGTGACTCTCCTAGAATTTCTCCTGATTAGAGATCTTTGAGCTTTTTGAAAATGTATAGATTGAGGTCTTATTGAAATTTGGGAAGTATTTAGCTATT